AGCACAATTAAGTGTTCCGGAATACTCATACTTCACAATGTTGTCCATAGCTTGTCATGATCCACACAATTGAAAGCCTTTGTGTAGTCAATAAACCACAGGTAAACATCTTTCTGATATGCTCTGCTTTCAGCCAAGATCCATCGGACATCAGCAATGATATCTCTCATTCCACAGCCTCTTCTGAATCCAGCTTGAACCTCTGGAGGTGCTCTGTTAATGTATGTTTGCAGAGTATTTTAGTAACATCTGGTTAGTAATAGGGTTTTTGCAATCTGACACAAAACATCAGGGAGATTATCTAATTGTAAAGAATTTTTAAAAACTGAAGGTCATGAGCACAAAATACTTTCACAACAAAACTCATTTCCATGCACGTCTTGGAGGCTGGAAATCAATAGGAAGATACACAATTTAGCTCTCAAGTCTATTTTTATATAAAAACAATATAAGCTGGTTAAGAGCATCACGTGTAGTTAAAACTTATTTTCTGAAGCTAAAACCTGAAGAAAATTTAATAAAACCAAACTCAACTTCAGTTCCCCCAGCTTGAGAAATGTTGAGTGTGTTCTTACTTTTTTGTTTTCTGACTCCAGATCTTTGCACATTTTGTTGTAATATTTGACTTTGTCTTCTCTAGCTGACCTTTGAGATTTTCTGTTCAGCTCTTGGACCTCCTCATTTCTTCCATTTGCTTTAGCATCTCTGTACTGGAGAGCAAGTTTTAGTGTCTCTTCCGACATCCATTTTGATCTTTTCCTTCTTTCTTGTCTTCTCAATGACTTTTTGTTTTCTTCATGTATGATGTTCTTGATGTCATCCCACAACTCTTCTGGTCTTCGGTCTTTAGTGTTTAATGTATCAAATCTGTTCTTCAGAAGATCTCTAAATTCAGGTGGGATATATTCAAGATCATACTTTGGCTCTTATGGACTTTTTTTCATTTTCTTCAGCTTCAATTTGTATTTGCATATGAGCAATTGATGGTCTGTTCCACAGTCTGCCCCTGGCCTTGTTCTGATTGATGATATAGAACGTTTTCATCATATCTTTCCGCAGGTAAAGTCAATTTGATTTCTGTGTATTCCATCTGGTGAGGTCCATGTGTATAATCAATCATCTCTTATGCTATCTAAAGAAGGTATTTGAAATAAACACCACTTGTCTGCCAGTTTGTCTTACTGTGACAGCTTGTGAGTTGCTGTGATTCTGGAAGCTATGCCACTGGTATTTTAAATACCAGCAGCGTCACCCATGGTGGACAGGTTTCAGATGATCTTCCAGACAAAGATAGACTAGGAAGAAAGAGTAATGAACTACTTCCGAATATTTAGTCACTGAAAATCTGATGAATAGCAGAGAAATACTGTCAGATATACTGACAGAAAATGAGCCCCTCAGGTTGGAAGGCACTCAAAACATGACTGGAGAAGAGCTGCTTCCTCAATGTACAGCTGACCGTGATGACACGAATGGAGTAAAGCCCATGAGAGCAAATCTCATGGGACCTTCATTTGCTGATGGGGCACAACTCAAAATGAAGAGAAGCAGCTGTAAACA